AGTGATAAACTGCAGAGTAATGGTGTGATAAATTGCAGAGTAATAGTGATAAACTGCAGAGTAATAGTGATAAACTGCAGAGTAATAGTGATAAACTGCAGGGTAATGCTGTGATAAACTGTAGAATAATAGTGATAAACTGCAGAGTTATAGTGATAAACTGCAGAGTTATAGTGATAAACTGCAGAGTAAAGGTGTGATAAACTGCGGGGTAATAGTGATAAACTACAGAGTAATAGTGATAAACTGCAGGGTAATGGTGTGATAAATTGCAGAGTTATAGTGATAAACTGCAGAGTAATAGTGATAAACTGCAGAGTTATAGTGATAAACTGCAGGGTAAAGGTGTGATAAACTGCAGAGTTATAGTGATAAACTGCAGGGTAAAGGTGTGATAAACTGCGGAGTTATAGTGATAAACTTTTCTCTTTTGATGAAGCTGTTTTTATGCTTTTTAATTTGAATTGTAAAAGAACTTCACTCTTCTGTGTTGTCTGAAAAGCTCTAATAATAGAAACGGAGTTATTAAATAATATTTTCTGCAGAACAAAGGCTCTAAAGTTGCTCAGCGAGCGGATGGGGGAAGACCTGCTGACCTGAAGTAGGTGGCGATGCAGAGGATGACGATCAGCATGGGGTAGTAGATGTAGAAACCATTGGCAATGAAGGAGAGAACCTTCATGGATCCCATGATCTGAAACAAAACACATCAGACGTGTTAAAAGGACCTGAAACACGCAGCTCCTTCTCATCAGTTATGAGGATTAATGGTTTCTTACAGAGGTGTAAGCCGTTTGCAGCTTCTGCTGGTGGGAGATGGCCGAGTCCATGTGGATCAGACCCAGGAAGTTCAGGCAGAGAGGAGGAGTGAGCCGACAGAAGAGCCTGAAGATAAGAATGCAGACCTGTGTTTCAGACCATCTGAATGATGGAGAGCAGTGTCATGTGACCCGTTCTGTTCTACCAAAGCCTCAGCAGTCAAGAACCTCTTTGGTCCAACTAAACTAAATGAGTTTGGAGCCACAAAACCAGCAAGTTTCTTCAAAAACAAACAGCTTGTTTATAGTTTTAGTCTTATGCTACGTTCACACCGGACGCAGCAGGAGCAGCAAAATTAAGTCTGCTGCTTCCTTTTTGCTGCTTGTACCAGTTTA